GGGGGATGCTTATGTTGTGTTGTGTGTGAATGTGTGAAACTGCTGTGATGCCTTTTTGCTTTGAGTTCTTTCTATAGGCCAAGATAAGGGGGGTGTTGAAAAGAGACTTTTTAAGATACTGTTTAGAAAGCAAAATCACYTGTTAATCCTTTAAACTGGTTTCTTGGTAGGACCCATGCATTTTAACACAACTTGAACTTTCTTTGACCACTCCAATATTTTGGGTTTCAGTTCACTGAGATGATGTCCCTTGATGTATCAGACAGTGCTCAGATCTATGCTGCATTCCTAGTTTACCTGGACCTCTTAGAAGGTAATTCAGTGAACATCTSACCAAATGTTTTGGTAGTCTTAGGTGCTAGGGTATAAAAACTTGTATACCTGAAGTTGTGCTGATAACAATCCTGTCTTCTAGACAGGATTTCTACTAAGTAAATGGCTGGTGTGTGCAAGCCTAATGAGGATACTCCTTTTCTGGAAAGGAGCAGTATTCCTATAGGAAAGAAGACAACTTTGAAATTTGTTGGCAATAATTACAACAAACTTAGTATAATCTTGTAATGTCTTAGAATAGTGGGGAAAAAAAGAGAGTTATGTGATGTATAAAACCCTATCTGCATTTCTTCCAAAAGGAATTCTTGAGAAGGGACTGTACTTAGACAGGCAGCCAGCATAATAAAGCTGCTGTACTTTCTCTTGGAGACCGGTAGTTTTCAGGGTCAGGGACTGGAGGAATTTCACAGACCAGAAGGTTTTGTATCTGCTGTCGTTATTACACCTCCACACAAAATGGCTTAATGAGCTGTAACAGAAAACTGCGGTTGGACAGCAAAAACTTTTAGCCTTGTCCCTTCATGCAGAAGGGAAAAAATAGGAAGGGTTACCATGATTTTAGCACCTATTCACAACTTGGGTATTGATAAATTTTGAACTCAAACTAGTTTCATGGTACAGTGACTTCAAAACTAGAGAAACACCAATTGTCATCTTCTTCCATATGTAAAACAAAGATTTGTAAATCAGACCCCATCTGCCATCAGCCAGTGTAGCTTTGAAGTCAGATTGCTGCTCATCCCTTAGGTTTCCTTAACAGGACTGCCTMTCCGAAAGCAAACTCAGAGTTGGTTGGGATCTCTCACAGCAAATACTTGGAAGAGAGGGAAGGAAAACAGAACATAAAATGTTAAATTAAATTCCAAGTTTGTTGTATGAATGGTTAAACTTGTTTTTTGGTTTCTGATCTGTCTCATCAATGATGAACCCTTCCAGGGAGAAACTGGCATGAAGTCAAGTATGTTGGATTAGCAGAACTGCAGCTGGTGTGTCTACATGCACGTGAAAGAGAAGAGGACAGTCAAATAGTGGTGGTGCCAGTACCTGTGCACATATCACTAAGTCATGAAAGGTGAGGATACTAATTCAGTTTGCACTGAATTACCCACAGGATAAAATGAAGAGTAGACATATTTAGCAGGCTGCTGGTAACTTAACTGGGAGCTGGAAAGGGAATGGGGAGGGAAACAAGGAAGAAATATCAGAGAGAAGGTGTGTTTCAACTAGTGAGCAGACATATTCTTGGTATTGCGACATACATATATATGAAGTCATTATTTCTGTAATTTTCTGGGCTGTTATCCATTCTCTGCTTCCTCCCTGGAAGTGTTAATCCTTTGATGCTAGTTTCCAAAAGCAATTGCCTCTTTATGTTGATAAACACTTCATATTGTTTAAAAGTAGCATGTGCCTTTGGAGATAACGGGTATCAAAACACACATTAGAGACAAGGTTAGAATACAACTATCGCAGCTTATGCTTTGAACATTCTTGTGCTGAATTTTTGTTGTCTGGGAAATCTGGTGGTAGTCTCATGTCTATGGGTTTTAAAGTACCTTAAAAAAAAAAAACCTCTTTGGACTTGCTTAAAAATAAATATTGATTTTTCCTTATTGTTGAATCCCAAGAATAAGCCTGATATATTTGATCTGTTGTGTTTTTGGCTTTTGAAATATAATCCTGCTATTTTTAACAGGAAATTCCTCTTATTTACCCAGAATCAAGTGTTTAACTTTCTCTTGAGCTATAATTTTAACTTGCATCTGTTCAGAAATGCCTTTTAGATGCTTGCTTTCCTGGTGGCACATGCAACACCAAGTAATTCTCAAGTGGAGAGAAACATAACTATGACTTTCTGATGTTATAAATATTTTCAGCTTAGAGAAATTCCATTCTAATACTTTTATAGGATATTTTTCTGACTGTTGGAGTAGCCTCAAATATGCAGCATGAAATATTCTCTTGATTGCATCTCCCTTATCTGTTACTGGTATCTATCATTCCTTCCTATGATAACTAAATATTTGAGCTATTTATTTTAGCTGCATCATATGGTAGTGCTTTTTTTGTTGTGTGTGTGTAACATGTAGAGCAAGCCTTGAGAATATCTTGCTAGTGTTTGCTGTATCCTCTTTCTCAGTTGCSAGCAACCTTAGCAGACATGTGCAGAATGTTATTTTAGACATGCGATGGCTATTTTTTCTTTTCTGTTTTGGTTTTGTAAGTGACAGGCTTGTCTCTTACAAGCAGGCTTCCATCTTAATTCTGCCWTGTGTTTGTCTGAGAGTGGATCTTCAGAAGCATTTGATTTTTGATAGGGGAGAAATTTAGCTTATTAAATACTGGTGGATTCAAGTCTAGTTGCTGAAAAATTTGCATTTGCAAATAGTGGTCAGTCATTCTTGTGGGCATGGTTTTATGGAGAAATATGGCATGATCCCTGCAACAGGACCTGCAGGGTGAAAACTGAGTGTCATTTAGCCTCTTTGCAAGAAGTAGAYCACTGGATATGTGAGAAAAGAGCACACATCCAAAAATATTTCATAGTGTTAAAATTTGAACTGGATTTTTTGGGTGGGGGGAAAAAAAGGTGGCTAGGTAGAATAGGGGATTTTTGAGAAATTACTCCTATATGTGCTGAGTTGTTGTATTTATTTAATGTAGTAAGTTTCCATCTGGGTTGGAAACTTTGATTCCTGACATTGGGTTAATGCCAGCAAGTATATTCCAATTGGGTTTTAATGACAGGGAGATACTGCACTGCATATATGTCCTATCTTTTACTGTTTCATTGGGGCTTTTCATTTGGAGCCTCTAAACTTGTTTGTACTGTGGTGATACTGTTTGCTCTCTTTCTGGCATCGATGTGAATGGAATCCATTCCTGAAAGGACGTGTGTTAGAGAAGCAAAGAATGAATGCGTCACATTGGTTAAAAGTACAGCGTGTGACTAGGTTTTCCTATAGAGCAAATACATTCAGCATGTTGTCAGTAAAAAGAGCTGAATATAGGGCTGTAGTGCTAGATGAGTGCTTTAAAGTCTTGTATGTACTTGATGCTGTTATCAGACAGGAAGACTGCGTATATGTTATTGAACATGTTCTTCAGGGCTTGGGAACTGATGTCTGAAGTATCAGTAGTAAAATAATACAAGGACCTTGACTGGAGTCCTACATAACTCTAGGAGCCCAGTTCGAACCCTGTGTATCCACATGCATACACATGCTTGGGATAAYGTTAGCAGCTCCCTGCTGATCCAACCAGGCCTGGTCTGTCATTGTAGCGACTGGACAGCATCAACTTCTCAGCGCTGTTGTTGGAGCAGGGAACAGAGAAAAGGCTACAGACTGCAGCTGCAGCTCAAAGTTATGTAGTGTAGAGCTAGGACACTAAAAATGCATCCCACAGAGGGAGTTGGAAGCCAGTACGTTACAGTGTTGCTTGCCTCTTTATTCTCATAGTGATGGATATTTTGTTSTTGTGATTGTTGATAACAGGAGACTTGGAGGTATCTGGTGTCTTAAACGTCTTAAAAGTCAAATTTTTCACTTGGGTTCCCAAGTTGTAGGTGGTCAGGAAGGTTTTGTACTTGCCCACTCTGCTACTTTGCTCGAAACCTCAGCCCCCCGTAACCTTCCTCTATAAAGTAGAGGAAAGGATATGAATACAAATAAATGCAGCTCACTTAGCGTTGAAACTTAAGACATCAGAAGGGGTCAGAAGCTGGAAACGTTCTTTCCCCATTGCTGGGGCTGGAAATTCTGTGCTAACTGTAAGAGCAGCCAGTAATTGGCAGCATTTATTGGAAGTGTTTTCCTTCTTAACCAACAAGAGTAGGGACTGCTGGRATGGTTTTTCTTTCTGAGCCACTTCAGTAAGGGCCTGCCAAACTCGGCCTTCCCAGGTGTCTCATGAAGATTTCTCTTTTGCTGACACTCTAGCAGCAGAGGAATAGAAATGTGTCTTTAAAGACTGTAGCAGAGTTGCTGTGGAAATCACTGCTAAGATACCTAAGCAAATGGTAAGTGTACTTTAAAGTAAAAACACTCATCCATAGCTGCTCAGCATTCCCTTTAGTCTGTTCTGTGATTCCATCTTTTCCATTTTATATATGACAGTTAACTGCTTAAGGCAGAAGCTGTTCTGCTTACAAGCCGTGTGCCCATTTCTACCAACAACTAGATGATCATCCTGCCATTTCGGTGTAATGCTACACGATAATTCAGCACTTCTTTCACTGAATCCTAAAATTATGGTGTCTGGAGCAAATAACTGCCAATGCAAATAATAGTTTTACACAGTCTGAGAAGTGATTTCATGCTGTGCATATGCCCACTTAAACAGAAGGTCGCTGAATCTTCTGTCCTGAAGACTTAGGGAATAAAACAACTTCTTTCTGTCTTGGACCATTCTCCCAAACATACACAGCTGGTTGAGTTTCAGAGAACCTTTTTTTGTACTCTATTGCATTGAGCTRTAAATTCATTCTTGCTTACGAGTCTGTGAGAGGAATCCATGGCTCCATTGACAGGGAGCTAACTGCTGTTCGTTACCGCAGACAGAGTCTCAGTGCACGCTAGGTATGTGGTCAGTACTTCCCAGAACTGCAGTTCCCTGCATGGGATAAAACAATTTAATAAAGGTAGTCCTGTCTCGAAGCTGACAGAAATCATTTGCATAAAACAAACTCAGCAAGTTTATAAGAGTTTGTTACATTGACATCTGGATTTTCTAGATAGTGTTAAAAGACTTTTTTTTTCAGTCTTAATAGAATTAATTGGTGCTTGTTTTAGACAAATAACTTTGTCTAAGCAAAATATTAATCGCTAAAAAACTCTCAGGTTAATTGATGTTTCTCACAGTTCTGTTTATTTTTTCAGTGGGAGCTGAAGGTAGATTAAGTCAGTAACACCAGATTATAAAGAATACAAAATTTGTTTCAGTCTAGGAGGGAAAGGGTTATTTTGCTAAAATAGTAATTTACTCTTGGGGAAAAAATGTATAAATGTTCAACTTTAAAGCTAATAAACATCCTTTGAAACAAATCTGAGGGTTGAAAGTGATTTATTCTCTTAAATCCATAGTTTGTGAAGTAGCTCTTCATTTTAGGTTGTATTTTAAATGTMCTTGGGGTGTGACATATTCTTATCTTGCCTCTTGCCTCCCTTTCACAGTTTTGTCAGTAGCTCCTTCTGCTGTTAGCATTATTTAATTTATTGTTTTCTAGATACGAACTCTTTAGCAGCGTTTTAGAAATAGCTGTCCTTTTTCTGACCATGTGGCATTTGCTTTGTGCTTTTTTTTTTTTTTTTGTCCTTTGAGGGGGGCTGATAAAAAGTCTTCTAGCATCCCATGTTGCTGTAGTTTAGAAACTAATCCCAGGCAACAGGGTGTGTTCCATTTCCCCCAGCTCTGCTCCTTCCTGTGTGCTTCAAAGGATAATCCAAATTTGGGACAAGCAGCTGTGCATAGAACAACATTTATTTCTTGATGGTGAGCCTGGGGGACATACTGCGCCCTTTTGGAAATGCTGGTTAAAGTGGAAGTATTGTGCTTTATAAGAGGCTACCTCTGCTTTGGTCCTCTCCTTTATGGAGCCTGTCTATACAAATGTGGTGCAATTTTGTACTCCARTGTCTAGAGGAATGGTTTCTGATAGAGAGGTACAGAGATCAGCTCATGTCACTTCTACAGTGCCRCCCTGCATGGAGGGGACAGAGGCAGTTCAAGCTGGCAAGGCCTGCGCTGAGTTGCTCATGCAGGTATAAAGGGCAGATTGAAAACCTTTGGGGTTTTATAGTAAGGAGGGCTGTAGATCCATTTAAGGTAAATGGAGCACTGTACAGCTTCCATAAAACTACTCTGAGCTTTCAGTGTTTCCTTTGCTTCTCAGTGATACTTTTGTGGGATATATTATGAAAATAAACTWATTTTTTTGGTCACAGTTTGCTACTTGTAATAGTGTTTCTTTATGATTGTTCTATATTCAGTTTTTGGACAGTCAATTGAAACCTCAAGTTACTGTTTAAAACCTGAAAGTTCACCAATCTTATACATTTTTTTTCCCCTCTCTTTGGACAGAAAAAGACAGCATCGCTTTGTGAATGTGTTTTGAAAGCCTATCTGATAYAAAAGTATCTTCATAAAAATTAAGATGGGAGAAAGGCCATGGGGGAAAACAGGAAAATAATACTTTTCCAGAATGTATTTAGTCTCATTCTGTTTGTGGGAGTTTGCTTTTTTAATCATGCTGGTGAAAGGCAAACTTGCCAGTGCTGCTTGTGGTGGCCACGCAGCTTCCTGCCCCAATGGTGTCTTCCCATTCACAGCGCCTTTGTAGAGGGTGTACCTTTCCCTGAAACCTGAGCCTCAACACTGTCTCTCCCCTGAGGAAAAGACACAGAGCATTGTGAGGGAGGGGGAGAAGGGAGAGGAGGGAATGCAGGATATTTTAGCTCTGCAGGCTTTCCCTGTGCACACACCAGCACACTTGCCTGATTGTTCTGTTTCTGTGAGCTCTCTTGGTGCTCTGTTTTTATTTTATTTTTTTTTTCCTGGATATTCACTGGCATAAATCCCATGAAGGTAGCACACTTAGGGTATCTGTACTCAGTCTTTCTAGTCTACCTGAACCTGTGTATGAACAAGGTTATTCTAGGCTCTGTGTACTAAGGTGACTGAGTGTTTTGTTGYGCAGTCCACTTCTGGATATGACAAGGTGAAATAGTACATACTTTAAGCATGGGCTTTCCTTAAGACTGTACTTGAGAAATGCTAAGCTTTTATTCAGACACTAGGGAACAGTATTAACTGCTTTAGACACAGTCTAACAATTTTTCAGCTGCGCCTTTTTCCTGTGGTAAGTTTCTAAACTCAAAACTTGATGTCTAGTCAGTGAAGTGAGATTACGACCTCATGCTTGTTGGTAAGGAGGAGCCAAGTGGAGCCAGCCTAGTGCTAACAGCCAAATGTTTGTCACCAGCATCCACATGGAACACAAGCTGCTGACGCATGGCTTGTAGAGACTCATGTACCAAGGACAGTGACTGYAGCCCTCTTGGTGTCACTGCGAGTGATGTTTGCAGAATGTTTGATAAAGCTGGGATTGGTGAAGACGAGGTTGATTAGGATGCTGATAAATGGAAGATACTGTGGTTCTTCATGGAGTATGTTTCAAATATTTAATTTTTTCAGAGGTGCTAAATACACTTTCGCTTGAGCRAAAACATCTTTGTAACTGCAACCATGTGTTTGTACTATCTCTTTCACCGGTGATGAGAGTAATTAGTCTGCTAGCATGAACTTAGTCAATAAATCCTCTTAATAGGCTAGCTAGTTCTCTAAGAGGAGATATTACATAGAAGTGTTTGTGTAAGACTCCATTTTAATCACTGAAGCTGTTGTGTGAGGTGGGTAATGTAGAGGGCTCTGCTTGATGAAGGCTTTTTGCCTTGTTTACGAGGTCGAGCAAATTTCAGAAGGCTAAGAATAGTCTCCCTGTTTTTTTTTCCTTTTGTAAAGAATGTTACCTGCTTCTAAAGGTTTAKAAAAACAACTCCTGCACCTTTCTAGCAACTTTTTTTTTTCCTACTACTCATGGTAGATAGTAAGTAATGAAATGGGTACAAAGCAGGTGTTCTTTTCTGACTCCTCCTTTGAAATGCCCATTGCTGTAAAGTAACTTTGGGAACATGCTGTATGTGGAGGCTAGCAATGATGTCTGGAGGGGGAAGAGAGGAAATGCAGTTGTCTGATACAGACTTCCTGAATTCCAAAGCTTATTTGAAAAGATACCCTCCCACTAATCTGCAGATGTGCTGTGTTGCGTTATGGCTAGCTGTGATATGCATGGAGAGAACGCGTGGTGCTGCCTGTGTTAAGGACAAAGAGAAGAATCTTGCATTTACAATTTTAGATTTTTATGGTTATAGCAGCTGATATTTGTTTTGTGGAGGAGTATTGGGCCCAAGGATGGAAGTGGTAGCAGATCATCCTGAAGCACTCGGGCATAAAACCTTAAGATCTCAATTACACTAAATGACTGACTAACCCTGATCTGTATTGCTTTGTCTTGCATTATGTGTGAGCCTATAGTAAAAATAGAAGACACTGTTGAAACTAGCCAAGTTGAATTATGAACAGTTCAGAACACAGATGGGTACTTAAGACATGGCTTTAACAGCATAGACTTTCCAGGCTGCTGCTTATTCTTTGCCACTTCCTATTTGGCCTTTACTAAGGGATCAAAGAGATTTGGAAGGGAAGATGATGTCTGAAGTTTGAAAACTGACGTATTTAGAAAGACCCTAATTTTCAGCTACAATGAGCAGCTTGAAAAATCTTTATTTGCTAGTGCTTGAGAACTTACAGGCACATGAAGCGAGAGGGAGATTTTTCCCACTGCAGAGATGACTTGTCCCCAGAATATAAGCTGCTGTCCCAGGAATCCCAAATGAGCCCTCTTGCATTAGACCTTTAGGTGAAGAAGTTACTGCTGCTAAGAGAGGGAGTTAGATTACAGGGGTGTTACTGCTCTGTCCTCAGGCTTTGCACTATTGTACTCCTGCAGTACTTGTGTCCCATGCCCCTGTTGGAACTGTGCTACAAGAACTCTGGGAAACAGTGCTGACCTCTGCTGTGATTTAAAAAGTAATTGGCTTGCTATTCATAAGATAATTTTGTTTTTTAAACTGAAGAAAACAAGGGCGTTGGAAATTAGCTTACTATAATTGGTGGAAGGGAGGTTTGAAGTGTATGCACTAGTATACCTAAGGAAAGCTTAGAGGCATACACTGAGTCACTTCCAGCAGAAATTTGTGGAACTGAGTATATTTTCAAGTAAAAGCAAGATCTTTATTTAAGAAATTGTGTTTGATCCTCCAGAAACTATCGAGCATCGTGTTGAAATTGGCTTGTAGGGCTTTTGCTTTTTAACAGCAGAAGTTGTATGTTCTTTTTATGTGCATTTCTAACTGTGTCATGAATGCATGATTATGGACCTATTTCTAACTTTTTTCTTCTTTTTCTTCTAGGATAAGAGAAATCTTACAGAAAGCCTCTCTTCCGCCAGACAAACCCGACACCCCRCAGTCAGTCACTCTGGCCATAGTAGAGTCAGATTCCACAGTAGTCTACTATAGAATGACTGATGGCTTTGTAATGCCAGATCCTCCTGACGATACTGAAAACATTGACAATAAACAATGGAGAAAGAAAAGAAAGAAGCTTTTCAAATGATTAAGACAAATAGACTTTTCTTGAGCTGCCGTCCTCAAATTTAAACAAATCCAGGAACTTACACATGTAAATAAGTAGTGTGATGAAGTCTTCTGCATATCAAGTATCTTTTCACAGAGAATGGAGGTTTGTGCAGATGTACAGAAATAAAATGCCATTTAAAGTATCACTTGGACCATGTTTTTGAAACATTTCTCCTAATAAATACACTCTGAGAAGTTTCCAAAGCTAGTCTCTCMTTTATACCTGTTCAGTTACATAACAAACTAATCATTACTCTTATTARAAGTATTTATTAAAGGTAAATCTTGAGGGGTTCTGCCAGAAGTTCTGATACTGAGTTAAAGGCTTTGTATTTGAGAGTCTTTTTATTATTAGCTCATGCTACCTCCCAGTATCCTATATTGAATACATATCTTGTCCCATCTTTTGAGCAAAGTTTTTTTCCACAGAAGCACCCTGTTATGAACTTTTTTTTTCTGCAGAGAGGAGAACTGACTACTACAAAACCAGAGGCTGCTAGAACAGATCCTAGACTAGTAAGAGGGATTTGGAGTCCTTTCATCTGCATGAAGAAGGACCAGCCTCTACTAGTAGGTTCAAGTCGAGGTAGGTTATGATCAGATCAGCACTTCAGTTTTTATTGATCCAGAGTGGTGTCRTGCATATAACTGAACACACACCATGTTGAAGGTGAGGATCTGGAAATTCTACCCGTCTCAACACAGTATTGGAGTCTGGTCTTAGAACTGGAAATGCCTTGTGTTTGCATCACAGTGTAATGAAGTTGTCTATGTGATGCCCTGCTAGGCTGCTGTGTRTAAAACTGCTTCACTGTGCTTTCAGTGCCTCAGTGTCACAATAGTGCTTAAAGCTCTTTGGAGAAGAGGAGGGCAACTGGATGTGCTTTTCTGTATCAGCGTACCTGTATCTGAGGCTGCAACTGGGCACTAGCCATTATCTGCTCAATACAACAAGCAAGTTCCTCAACTCACTGTAATTTCAAGATTTTTTTAATACAGCTTCCACTAGTTAAACTGATTGTCCAGTGATGCATCAGCTAGGGGTAAATTAAGGAGGTTAAAAAAAGTCAGTTTCTTTTGCAGGAATTTTCCATGTCTTTCACATAACAGTTTTCTTCAGGTTGAACTTAGAGCTTCTTGGCAATCAAGTGCCATTCCAGAGGCAGCCTCTTGGGTAAGAAGATGCTCATTTGAGATTCATGTGGTCAAGGACCACACACTCAAACTTCGAAGCACAAGAACTCTTTATCTTCACATGGGTATAAGAATGGGAGAGAATCCAGGAAATGGAGCTGGGAATGAGGTGGTTTAGAGCTTTAGTATCTCTATGACCAAGATGTCTGGAAATACCCAATGTTTTTTTTTATTGTGACCATTGAATCTAGTATAGACAGATACGTCRGGAGACTCTGTGGTGTAGCAGGGAGCACACAGGGCTGGAGAGTAGTCAGGGTGTAGCTCTGGCTTCCCAAAGGAACCCAAAGGACACCTTGCTCAGCTTTGCACTTGGTGCTGGTTCTGCCAAGCCTCTCTCGGAGCTGGCGTGTTGTGGCTGCATCCCCTTGGGGTGTTCCTGCCTTGCAGCACACATCAACCCTTCTCAGTTTTGCCAGCAAACCGGAGGACTGGAGAAGGATGCTGTGGCAGGAACCTTTTAAAGCAGCTTTACTTTGCCACCAGTGCCATCATCTGGGGGGACTTTGACCTAGGGAACTTGTTAAGCCATGGAGCATAGGCTGGCGTGCATGTCCAGGTGCTTGCTGTGCTCATTGCAGGACTCTATGCATCACTCCACTGGTCCTTGTAAGCTGTTTCTGAGTACTAAAGCACCGTAGCAACTGTTTGATATTATCCTTTGCAATACTGGTATCTTTGTTTTTCATCTCTTTGGTGGTATTTCTCCCTGGTATACACTGTGACAGTAGTGTATACCAAAGTAGCCTTTGAACTATGGTTCTTCTGGAGATTATGGCATCCTACCCTCCCCACGTGCCTTCTGGCACTTCCGTGCAACAAGGGGAGACTGTAACTCTGTGGGCTTCAGTCACAGAAAAATGCAAAGAAAAAAATTGAATATCTCTTTCTCGCTCTTGCTCCTCTCATGGAGGAAAAATATATTTTGTTTTGATTCAATGCCATACTGCCTTAGAAAGATAACAGTGTACTGACTCTTGACATGCTGTGTTCAACCCTAATGTCTGTATTTCAGGTCCTCTACTGCTCAGACCATAAAGTAAATCTTGTATTTCATGAGGCTACATACCACCAGTTAAATTGTCCTTGCACAAGCAAATACTTCAGGCCCGGTGCGAATATGTGCTGGAAAAGAGCTAGTTTTGTATGAAGAAGGCTGTAACAATTACAACACAATGCAGAATTTATTCTTAAGCTACACTTGCCTAGCCCAAAGAAAACTGTTCATTTCCTTCATTTTCATGGAAATGCATATATTTCTTCAGTTTATTTCAGGACTGACACTAGCTTGGCTTTTTTCAATTATTATTTCTAGGTAAAGAAAGAGTAGTATAATTTGAGCGTTTTTTTTTCTATATTCTGGAAACTACTTACCTAATCTTAGTTTTAAAAGATGAGTTGGAGAAACGAACTGTATTTTCGTCCCACCAAGACATGGCCAGACACATTGATTTTTGCTATGTATCCCACTAAGCAATTATTGTATAGGAATTTTTCCCCTCTCCTTAATTTCTTAGGTTCTTTTTTCTGTATGTTCAACAATACAAAAATATACACAGAATTKTAAATAATGTCACTGCAGTGTGTATTATAATGTAAGCATCTGGATGTTAAATTAATTTGATACCAGATATGCTGTTCCTTTACATATCCCTGCAGTGTGATATTATTTCTCTGTGTCAGGTCACCAGCGCACAGACTAGAGCCTCTGCTGTATTAGGCCCTGAATAAAGCRAGGAAGAGATTTCCCTTGGAAAATGTATCAGCTTAGAGCAGTAGCACATTATTGACTTGGGAAATTAAATCTTGGTACTGTGCGTGAAGTATTCAAGGGCTTGCTGTGCTTCAGATGTTTCTGAAACATCAGCAGCAGCACAAGAAATGTAAGCTTTGTCACATATGGTCTTTGCTGCTTTTCAAATTCATTTCAGTCCAGATCATTTTACAGGCTACATCTTGCCATCTTTACTTTTTATTTGCTAAGCATGGCTTGATCTGTTCTAGTAATGACTCATGACCAACAGAAGGTGTGTTTGGAAATCTTAGAACAARAGTGCCTTTCTCGGCAGATGATTCTTTCAATTCTTTTCTCTCTTCAGAGTGATATTTGCACTAAATCTTTCTCACCAAGTAAAGAATGATAGCAAAGCTAAGTGGTTTTTCTGTACATGCTTGGCAGTGTGACTAGATGCCCAGCAACTAAGCAAGTGTCTGCTTTGGTTTATGCAATCTAGGTTTCCTTGAGGCATTTCTGGCACCACCACCCAACCTTTCCGGTGTTCAGCCTATCTGTATGCAACACGCACAGAATATTTTATAGGAAAAAACGTCAGGCAMGAAGGAAGCCTGTTCAGATGCATAAAGAGGGGCTGTGGTCACGAGAAGTGGATAAGAAATAAATGCTGCAGCAGACAGTAAACTGCCGAGAGCAGGTAACTACCACAAGTTTCCCCTTGCTCTATGTGCTGAATAAGCAAAAACACATGCACACGTTTGAGTAGCAACCCCTCCTRTTGAAATCACCTGTACGTGACTGTGCAAGTGCTGCACATAATCCAGCAGCGCGGCGCAGCTGGGCGAGCAGCGGGTGCCAGGAATCGGCTTCCCATCTGCCCAGCTTGTGAGGGCACGTCTGCGTGGCAGCAGTGAGTCTCCACAGTAGAGCTCTGTGCTGCAGTGCAGGTATGTTGCTCCCAAAATACACCCTAAGTAGGATGCTGTCGYCTGCAAAGAGGCCCTCGGCATCCCTACAAAAAACAATCTGTTTTTCAGAAATAGCTAGAGGAAAGACGTGGTCTCAGGATGGGGTAAGGTTTTGCACAGGATCTTTAGCTTAAGCAACACTGAAATATCAGTAATATTGGTAAAAGCTCTCTTAATCCATTTAATCCATTGCTTTCCTTTATCAGCATCCAAGAATCTTTTTGTTTTATTTTAAATATTTTTTTTTCTCAGAAAGAAGTCCATTTATTAATTACCTATGATTACTCTAGGTGTATAGGAACTGGCTGTTTAATGGTTGGTCTCAGTAAGTTTTCAGTAATCTAAACTCAATCAACTAGCTTGTGAGCCCTCCTTTATATAAATGAGGTTATTGTTCATTTTCTGTAGTCCTCCAGGGATATGTCAGTTCCCCCATTATAATCCAGTATTTYAAGACTTCCTTAAGTTATTAGCCAAAGTAAATAAACTAAGATAAATTTAGGCCCTGCTAACTGTAAATTTTCAAATTGAATAAGCTTTCACCTCTTTTCTTATTTCTATTCCACTTTCATCTTAATCATGCCATCATAATAAATCTTACTTTGGAAGGCTGAAGCAAGGGCATCAAACTCTGGCACTTTCCATCTCTTCTGTTAATAGATACCTGTTTTCCTTTATCTTCCTTGTTTTGCTTTTTGTGTAATTTTCTTACTCCCTTCTTATCTCTTTCACAGCTCAGCTTGCCCTGGTTTTGCAGGACTGAGCAATTTGATGCATCCCTGAGTGCATGTCCTGCCTTCACCCAGGAGGTGAAGCAAGGCACACCAGGATTGCCAAGCATCTCTGCCTGTTCCAACTAACAACGAATTACTGTCCTGGCTAATACCTTCTATATAGAAAGATGAGCAGCTAGATTTTTCTAACATTTCAATAACAGCTGCAACTTCATCCCATATTTCAGAATTTCTCCAGCGTTGGATCTCTTTTCCATTTTCTTTCGCCATTTTTCAAAGGCTTCCGCTTTGGCAGTGCCGTGAGCGTGAAGAAGCCCAGACTCAGTCCTTGCCTTTGCAAACCTGACTGACAGCCCATTTGCCTGGGTGAATTAATGAGTGCTCTAACTCCTGAGTAGCTACATGCTCTGTGTTGTTTCTGTGCATCTCACTGATGTG